CTACAATAAACAGACACAATGGATTGCATGAAGGATTTAGCATGAAAGGAAACTGAGGCTTTCTTGAGAAGAATTGCTTTTTGGCTACAGTCAGTGTTCAGAGTATAGATGCCAGAAGGTTCTCACTGTTTGTACTCTTTGCAGATTACTACTAATACAATGTGTAGTAAAGACTGTAATGGCTTGTCCATGTTGCGTGTACATTTCTGTATTAAAGAGGACCACATAAGTTCACGATTAAATGTAGGATTAGTGTAGACTTCTGAGAATGCAAAGGCGGTATGAAAGGGAAACTCAATGTATGTTTCAGCGAAATGCGCAAATGTATTTTGATTTACCATCAATATACCTTTCTAAATCTGGTTAACCTTGCATTCAATTATCTTTCGTTAAAGGAATCTATAACATGTCTGTATATATTTTTACCATAACGAAGAGACCACAAAGATATTATGAGACATCTGGGTGTCAGTCAAACACGCTGATCCTTTTATTCTGACGCCAAAGGATTTTGCACTTTATTTCCGTTGTTCCCCTTGTATTTGAATTGTTTGTGGTTGTTTAAATGAAGTGAGATACAAATAAAATATAATATTTCTAATTGTGGCTTACCTGTTTTTTGAATGGAGCTTTATTTGTACAGACATGAAATGAGAAGGAAGCTTATAATTATATGCAACTAATGCATGTAATGTATAACTAAAGGATGAGAAAAAAAAGAAAATGTAAAAAAAGAATAACTATAATGTTGATTTTAATTATTGTTAGTTATTGCGCCCTCAGCTGCTACCTTTCGGTACAACAACATGGGGGAAATCCAAAGCAACATTCAAGATAACGAGAAACGCTATACAATGTTGAGGTTCATGAATGAGAGCATTGCCCCAAACAATTACGGTGCTTTATTGTAGTAGTTTTTAAACCTAAATTACTCCACTGAATAACTATCATTACTATTTTTTTAAACCGTTTAATATTCTGGCAATTTACGTAACATTTACTAACTGAGCTGAAGAGCTGAAGTCTTGAACGCGACTCGTCAGTCATTGGATGTTTACATTACGATGGTGACCGTAGGTGAGTGGTTAAAAGCACAATTCCTCTCTCAAATCATGATATTTTGCACCTTTTCTTATTTATTTTGATTCCGAAAATATATATCTACGTATCCGCTTCCTCTTGAGCACGTATAACGCTTAACTAACCAACATAAAGCTAACTTTTTAAAGAGCTAATGCTAGGGAAGTAACGTTAAGCTAATGACCACCAGTATTTTCCATGGTGTTTATAGCACAGGTGCTAACTGCGCTACTCTTGTGGTTTATCGGGTCGTGGCTTGGTCATGGACACCTGTCGTTCAACACAACTAGTAGCATATCTGACCAGGGTGTGAAGCCACAGGGAAGATTCTATATGACTGTTTTTTGTTGCAGTGGAGCTGCTGAGTCTCCTGCTGGTGTCCGTGCTGTGGGGCTGCACCAACCCCTTCCTGAAGAGAGGCACTGAGGGGATTGAACATGTCCAACACAACAACAGAGTCTCACAGCTGCTGGCTGAGGTCAAGTTTCTTTTCCTAAACCTCAAGGTAAACACCCTTACATCCATTAATTGTTTGACACTGTGAAAGGATTGCTTTTCCTTACAATTAGTTACATTGCACTTTGTTCCATGTGTTGCTCCACAGTACCTGGTCCCCTTTCTCCTGAACCAGAGTGGCTCTTTGGTGTACTATTACACACTCTCCACCACAGGTGAGACACACATCACTGTCTGAAGGTGGACTAACTGATAATTACCTTTTTTAAAGCTGACATTTGAACTATAGGATAAGATAAGATAGTACTTTATTGATCCCAATTTGGGACTTTTTTGCATTGCAGCAGCATAAAAAGACATGGCATTGTACAATCAAATAGCTATCACGAAGAGCACAGGTGTTGCTAATAAAATTAACGATAGCTGTGTTGTTCCATTACGTTTGCCAGTAAAGCATCCCATTTAGTTGGCAAGCACAATACTAAAGGCTTGGAAGTGGCTAAAGCAAAACAATCATCATTATTGTTATTTCTCACACCTGTGCTTCTCTTCAGCCAATAAGATCAGGTGCATTTCCTTCCTGCCTGCCCACCCAGAATAATGATATTTGTAAACTAATATAAATTGTTCTTATAATTTCAACCTGCTTTCAGCCAGTGAGAACAATTCTTCAGCCCACCTTATTTATGAAGACTAGGCATCTTTCACAGCAGACAAGTCGAAATGCACAGGTGTAGCTAATATTAATAATAATGGCATAATAATGTAACAAGTAACATGTAATGTGATAGTTCCCAGTAAGCTTTGATAGTGAGTCGGAAAGCTCAATAATACCTAAAACAGCAAATGATACTGCTCGTGGTAACATGTGCAGCTTTAAATGTTAAAATGTCCCTTAAGGACAATAGATAAATACAATCATAATCTATGACCTCCTGCCTTGATAATGTGCTTGTTTTTTTGTTTTTTGAGAAATAAATGTATTTCTACTGGTTTAGTTTTTTCAATATCCATTATGAGAACATTGGTTCTTTGGGGTATTTCCTTTTTTGTTCTGAATTTACATCATCTATTTCCAGCAGGAGTCAAGCCTGCTCATTTGGTAGCAGTATATATACAAGTATATATCTATATTATAAATGTTCTTCTCCACTTCTCCTCCCCAGAGATTTCGCTGGCTGTTCCTGTGGCCAACTCTCTTACCTTCCTCTGCACTCTGCTCACCGGCAAGTTTCTGGGTGAAGAGTTTGGAGGCAAACGTAAGGGACTTAATTGTCATACACAAGCTAGCTTTCAAGTACCAGGGCAGTCAAACATTGAGTAATACTGATGCAGGCAAATCTGGGATACTTCAAGCTTTAGGAGGAAAAATGTGGCTTCAAAACCAATTCAGAGCGGTTACATAAGCACGACTCAAGACATTTTTTATAGCATTTTATGGAGCAGTTAATTCCCTCCTCTGCCTGAAAAAATACAGTACTGGTTGTGCTCTGTCTTTTTTAAATGTGTTTTTTCACTTTCATTTTTCTTTCATATCCTCCTCACTCTCTGCAGAGGCTGTCGCGGGAATGTTCCTCACCACAGCTGGCATCACGCTGTGTGTTATAAGCTCCATTAATGACACAGACACTGTGAAGCAGAATATGACCCAGGAACTCTAACAGGGATGAGGATGAAATACAAACTCCCATACCTTCAAGTGATTCCTTTGCAGGGAAGGAAAGGCCAAAGCAGATTTGGGGCGGGACTAGAGGGGGCAATTAAGATTCTGACAGCGACTCCTTAGAGCAGTGGTTCTCAAACTTTTTCTGTCAGGCCCCCCCTTTGGAGAAAAAAAAAAGTCGGGCCCCCCCAACACAAAGTCAGGCTCAGTGGCGAAGCCAGAGATTTATTTTGGGGGTGCTGTGGGGTAGCTTGACGTTTCATAGAGGGTGCTCAAACATTTAGGGTTTCCCATTAATGTACCGGGCGCTACAGTGGAATTTTCTACTGCAACACTCCTCACGCAAATACACAACGTATACCCGCAACTGTTACAATGAAGGCTCGATAATCAGCTCACGGCATATAGGTGTAAGCAGGGGTAAAGTGCTATTTTTATAGCTGGTGTGTGGACCTCACATAGGGGGGTCCGGGGGCATGCTCCCCCGGGAAGATTTTTAAATATTGAAGTTAAAAGCATTAATCTGGTGCACTTTGAGAGCAAAATGAAGAGATCTATGGATACCTCTCTCAACACCCATTTGAAACAGAACTGTAAACAGATTTACTTTTTCTTTATGGATATTTTACAAATCACCCTTTTAAACTTTATTTTTTTTTTACTGTCATATAGTATTTCATACCTGTTTTTAATTTATTCTCTTATTTTTTTATAACTATAATGATCATATAAACGTGTGCCTCGGAAATAATTGTTTAATTAATGGTGACTAAAACGTTTGAGACCCACTGAGATAACACTGAGAGAGTCCTTTAGCTCACTGAGTCTCTCAGTCTGACAGGAGAGGACTGTCCTCCACTTTGTTGTTGAAACAACTCCTTATATCCGTTGGCGTAGCTCGCTAGCACCAGAAGCTAACAACAACGATCTCCGGTACCGGTGTGCTCTCTCTCTCGCTCGAGAACACAAAATGGCTCGTTCCACACACACAGAGCCGAGCTTTAATGAAACACAGAGACCCAGATGTAATAGTACTGTATCATATTATTTTCGAATCAATAATTTTTCAAAATATGATTTTTTTTTTTTTTTTTTAAATAACCATTTTTCCTCCTGGTCTCTCGCGCCCCCCCTGTCATGCCTCTGCGCCCCCCTTGGGGGGCGCGCCCCCCACTTTGAGAACCACTGCCTTAGAGCAACGGCTCTGGTGGGAGAATGGTGCCTAGATGAACTCAGTGTGAGCTTAAAAAAACCTGTCCAGAAGCTTTTACGCCAAGTTTAAGGGGAATTGGGTGCATGTGGGGTTCAACTCAAGGCTAGACTAGATTTATGGGGCTTGCATACAAGTTGGTGGTTGTTAACTTTTACGTTTACTGTAAGTACTCTGCTGCCCCGCCATGTGACTGGCATCTGCATACATGCTAAAGAGACCAAACAGAAACAAGGCTGGGTTTTGAAAATGAACCAATTAGATCTAACCTTCTCGTTTAACGGGGACATTTTCCTTCTGTTTGGGAAAGAGCAGGACACAGGAGAGAACAAATTGCTGTTTTGCCCGAGGATAAAACGGTTATTCATTTACTTATTTTCTGGCTGTCTTGACTCTTGTTTACATAATGTATTACTGAGTTAGATAAAATAATGGTTTTGTTGTTTTATAGCAAGTTACCTTGTTGTATGCTGTGCGAACATGTCTGAAGTATTTCAGAAACAACAGTGATGTACATAGTAATATATTTTGTTTTTATTGTCACAGTATTTTATTGACAAAACATTCTGTACAGACGATGGAATGTGGCTGGTATTCTATTAATAAATTGTTGGCAAAACATAATTTTTTGTCTGAATCACTAATTTCTGCAAATCAAAAAAAGTCTTAAAATATCCCAAAAATATTGTTTCTTATGTACATTTTGGATATGGAATATAATGCGTCCCCGAACACCTAGACAGTTTATGAATCATTCCTGTAAAACAGATTCACAGCAATATAATATAACACTAACTTTATGAAGGGTATAATGTCAGAATAGCGTTGTTTTGTCAGATTCTGGATTGTACTAGAACTAAAGAGAGTTTAAATCTTAAAAAGAGTTATTTGTTCTTATTTTGCATGCCTGTTCACATTTTGGACTTTGTTCTAAAATAAAACATCAATTCAAGTTGTCGCTTTGCTCATTAACACTTTTAAAGTACTACAAATGTAATCAAACATTAATTGGAGCACATTTGGTCATCATAGAAACAGCCGCTGGCTCGTCAGCTGTAGTTAAACCTCTTTGATGAATTCACCAGGACTCCTGATGATGGTTGTGTTCTGTGGTATTGACGGGGCAACCTGTGGGCTCTCCTGTTAAAGGATATAACGAAAATAGTGTTGGAGGAAAAGCAATGAAGCATTTTAATACACTTTGAGGTTGGCAGACTCACCTTTTCTTCCCTGCTCTCTACCTGAGATGTGTTTGACGAAGGCCTTGACTTCAAAGACGTCTGCTGCCTTTCAGGATCCTGAAATTAGACACACATTGAATGCTGAAAAATGTCTGTGTCCCTTTACTACTGAACATAAGCAGTACAGTATACAATTCTGTGTCATCCCAGAATTTCATCATACTCGATGGTCCTTGCATACTATTCTGTTGTTTCACACCATTTGTTGAGATGTTACCGTGTTACAGGTTAAATATATCATATTCTGAACCCATTTACACAGAAACTGAACCTGTTAATATCAGCACCCGTGTGTTGTGTAATTGTAACCGCCCACTCATATGTCCTATACTGTACCTGCTTTCCCATCATTTGTGAAAGTCTCTTGAGAAAAAAGGGTTTATGTGTTTTTGTTCCCAAATGCAGAATTCAGTGTCATTTGTTCATCACGGTAATGTATAAATACATACATTAATTTATTTCCCATCATCCACCTCTTTTCTAAATCATACCCAGTCTGTAAATGTGAAGGACATTGTTTTTCCACATTTCTCCAATGATACAGGAAGCTAACAGATGAGCATGAACAATGCCTACCTGCTGAGTGTTGTCTAGTGGAGCGTTTTGTTCCTCATCCTCCACTATCTCTGCTACTCTCTTTGGACAGAAAATGAGAGACAGATTAAGAGTTAGCTCTGCTTTATTAAACAAACATGAAGAAAAAAAAATGTTAATGTGTAAAGCTGACCTGGTCAACAGGAAGCTCTGTAGCTGTGTTTTCGTCCTCGTGCACCTCCTCGGCCCCTCGTGCCTCCTCTCTTCTCCTCCGTGCTGCTCTCTTCAACAGGCTGGGCTGGACTGTGACAGACAGAAATCAAAAAGCTGCTGCTGTGATCAACAGAACATTTATTATACGCATGCCTACTCCTGGACCCATCGACCTGATACTTCTTTCTGCTCAGTTGTGTTCAAGGACAGCTTGTTGTTGGGCTGAGTCTCTCTTTTGAATATAAAGAAAATGTATTGACTGTTTTGTTTGCTGACTCCTCATAACCGGCTAGTGGGCAATGAACAACTGCTTTAGTAGCAAAAAACCTTTCAGACAATCAACTAGGCTGAACAAAAACCTTACCTTGACTGTTGTAGGCCACATTTGGTCTTTTGTCAGGGCTCAAACACCAACATCCATAGAAACACTGTTTTAGGCATATGATAGCTAGTGACAACGATTAACATGATGAACAGATTAGCTCATTTGAACAAAACATTTTATACTGCTATGAACCGGTATACCTGCATCTTGTGACTGTGCAACACCCTCTTCTTGTATAAGCATGTGAAGGACGCTGTTCTGGGAACTAGTTGTATCATATGCTCTGTATGTGATGACTAATTCCATTCTCGCAAGGAGAATACATACATGTATCCTGATATTGAAGCTCAAGCCGGTGACCAGTGATATTTTTCCAATACTTATAATCAGTTAAATTCATCATCACATGAGATGAATAAATCCCACATTTTCTTGTCTTTGTCGCTATATTGAGGTAGGTAAGAGAGAGATCCAGCAGGAGGACATCTGCATTTGACAAAGTTCGCCTTTCTAGTTCAAATGAGGACAACTAAATTCAGTTTAAAGTTTAAAGTTGGGGTTCCTAACCAGATCCATTGCTGAGTGGGGGTCTGGGCTGTCCTCTGTTGTTGCGGATCTTGACGGGCCTGGAGAAGAAGGCAGACGTCTCCTCTCTCCTGCTCTGCTCTGCTGGAGCTGCAGCTTCATCTCCTGTGGACTTCACCCTGCGACCATCTGACTGGAATTCATGGGATGCAACTGACTAAATATAATTGCATTTATAGGCAAAATAAAAATACTCTCTGCACAGTTTGTCTCGCTGGGGTGTTGAACGTGTTAGGAAGAATACACAAAACTAATTAGCAGTCCCTATATAGCTCTTGTGGTGTGAATTATAGACCGATTTGTACCTCTGGGGAGTCGAGGAGGGCTGAGTCACTGTACTGATCCTCTGGACCACTTCCTGCTTTCCTGTTCTGAGAGAAACACACAAACACATACAGCTGTCACTCACACCTGACATGTGAACATAAGGGAAGACAAACAATGCTTAGACTGTATGTTAAGACTTAATAAACTGCATATAATTAAAGATACCTCATTTCTCCTTAACAGCCTTCTCTTTCCTTGGTAATATCTGCAAAATAAAGAAAACAATGTCTTAAATATTTAAAAAACATTTCTTGTCTGACAATCAACTTTTTATTTATGGAGCAGAACAGACACACCCACAGAGGACCTTGCACAATACCTCTCTGTAGCTTTTGAAACCAACAGCTCCACATATGGAAGTTTCTTGAACCTCTCAGTTCCCACGGCAACATAGCAGTGGCCAGTCTCCAGTTCCACAGCTGACGACAAAGTCGCTCCTTCCAGAGAGCACAACCTGATAAAGCACCGGGGTCACAGGGAGGTTTTTATTCCATATCTCCTCGTCTATTTTTGTTCCACACGTGTATTTTATGGGTTTTTATCACTGACCTGCGCACAGCTCCGGTTCTTAAGCTGACCTTCTCAGTGACCAGACTCAGGATCTGCTCCAGGTCCTGCTGCATGCTCCGAGGAATGATGAACCGGAATGGTGGACAAAGCAAGTCTCCATTTCGGAAAACGCTGAACAGAGAACACAGGGTTTCTTAATGTCCTAATGTTAAGTCAAAGTAAAAGATGGGAAACATCTTCAGCCAAAGCTATGAGACTATGATTCTGAATTAGATAAATCAAGGGGTATCTTTCAAAGTAACAGTCTTTTACTTGCAGAAGCCATTCTTTTTGTTTCCCTGGACAAATAAAAACATTCACACAAGTTTGGGCGCTTAAAAAAGATTCATGAAAATTAACTCATTCTGAGAAGGAGCCACCGTACACCATACAGTTAGTTACCTATTTTCTCAAAAGAAACATTATTTATTTTATGTAGTTTATCAAACTCACTGTATAATGCAGGGTAGAGGTATAAACTTTCTCCATTTGGCTGAAACATTGAGCCTCTGGGATGCTTTGGCCTGCAGAAGACAAGAAAATCAGATAGTTGATACTGCAAACTCAGCGATATTGAAAATTCCTCTTAAATCATGAACTGTATATCCTGCACATCCATCACAAAGAAAAATGGTTATCCTTAACCTGTAATAGCTCACTAACTATTCTGCTCAAGTGGCGCAGCAAATGAATCTAACATCACTGCGAGATGTCTTAAAAGGCACATTCATATTGTGATCTGAGGGTTCCTCTCAAAGCCCATTTTGTCATATATTTCAATTAACTCAGTCGATATCCATGTCTGCCTCTGATATGTAGCTGGACTAAATCAATCCACTCAGAACAACCCAGACATTGATAATCTCCCGTTATTGTTTTTACTTTGAAGAGAGAGACGTTTGATGCATTTACATTGTCTCAGCGCAGAGAATAAGGAGGCATGGGGCGGTGAATTGTGGGTAATAGGCCTGTCCAGACACGCACACAGCCCTGATAACACTGCGTGAAAGCACCACTCTTTGTTTCACCAGCTGGATCAAACACAACTCACATACAGACACACTTCCTGCATTGCTCCACAGCAACCACAACACAGGCATGTAAGACTTGAAAACCTAAGAACTCTCGCCTTCCAAATGGCAGTCACCCAAGGCACACACAATCGGTCTCCGCTCCTTTTATGTTTTTCAGAAAAGTAACACTGATGGTTTGAGACTGAGAGCACACTCAAAAAAAGGGGGTCATACTGTACCTGCCAAGGGGTCAGAATACAAAGCAAGCACTCCTCAGCATGTGTGAACGTGTTTGAAATGAATTTTGTTTGGATTTTAAGAGAGCTTCCGCCATCACTGAAGAAAACTGATTTCAGATTCACTAGAAAACGGTTATAAAATCTGATTTGCTTCAGATTTTCTGCTCTTTGGTGACATCCAGCTGTAACTACACATGTCACATTGGAGCTTTTACAGGGCGCCCCGCAAGGCCTGAGTGACATGTAAATGACAGTTAAGTCATTAGACCATTGTATCCGGTAATTTACATGACAACCACACGGACATCAAGGGGACGATAAACGCAAAGGGTGGCCCTAATCAAACTAATGCCAACAAAACAATGTCATCAAATGTAAAGGCAAATCTCGCTAATGGAAATTCCTGAGACCTTTCCTGTCTGATATCAGGCAAGGAAAATCCTGCCGTCATTATCATATTTGCTTTGGCACAATATCAACTAGAAAAGGTTGGATTTGAGTACAGTGTCAGGGGGTGCATTCTTCCTGGTTAAACTGGGATTAATCAGTGATGAAGTGGGCCTTAAAAGCAAAACGCCCACACATCAAAATGAAAGCCTACCTGGGTTTCTTCACGGCCATCCGGCTGCTTTTTCGTTCTTGCGGTCAGGTAACTATGCATTAAAACAAAAGATATAACGAAGAAAATCCTTTTTAAACCCTTTTCTCACATAAAAGGTATGTTAGAATGGATTCTTAATTCATTTCCTTTCATTTTAGACACAGAAAGCCTCTAGAACGGCACACTAATATCAGCATAGTAAATGTTTTTTGTACTTACTCAAGTTTTTTGAACCGTTCAAAGCCAGCAGCAACATACTTGGCTCCTGTCTGAAGATCCTGGAGGTCTGAGACCCTGTGCCCCTGCCTGGGCGTGTAGAGGGTCCTGACGGCCAGGGAGGCCCCGATGCTCCGGGTCACTTCAGTCAGAAAGGCCTCCATGCTGGCCACCTGTCGCTGGTTGACCACAAACCTGCGTCCACTGTAGAAAGGGTCTCCATTCTTATAGACCACCACGCTCTTCACTGGAGGCAGGAGAGCCGTGGCTGCTGTGCTGGCAGCCATCTGAGCCAGGTACTGATAGTCCACACACACATTTTTTAAAAAGGTGTTTTTTTTAAACCACTAACACCACATCATTCTCTCCACATACATGTCATTTCACTCACTTAGCCTATAATTGCATTTACTGACCATCTTTATACACCAGGTACATTTACATAACACATTCTTTGAATCACACATGAATAAAAACCATGTTCAGTCACTACCTCCTGTTGGACGATGAAGCGAGGAAAGGCTTGAATCGGAGGCGAAAGGTGGAAATCCTTCCCTTCTGTTGTTGTGATCCGTCTGGACTCCCACTCATCACGTTCTGCTCTCTCTATCCCCCCTAGCACACACACACACAAATTCACACACTACTCCACTGACGGCGGTGAGTATTTCCTGGTTGCTATGGCAGCGTGGCCAGCAATGACCGGCTTTGTGGGCCAAACCATCGGCAGCAACCACAACAAAAGGGGACAGACAGAGGAGAGAAGGGGTGGGTCGCTGTGTTGTTGTAAGCTGAATCAATAAGATAACTTCTACACCCACTTGTCTGTATTTTCCCCCCAAAACATATTTGCCAAATATCAATATGCATATTAGCATAAGCTGGCAATTATGGTGACAAAACCATTACGGAAATGTGACCTTTTAAACATGACATTTGATCTAAAAACAAGGACCTTTTTTGGAAGCAGGACAATGTCATTTTTACTTTTAAAAGCATGTTCCTCAGTGCTCTTTAATGACATTAATACCTTAAGACTAGAGCAGCTTAATAGGAGACAGTTGTGTGCAGAACTCCTATGTGATGCGTGAGAGCTCATTCATTGTGATCTAAATGGGGAATTTGAGCTTCTGTGAGTCACTACCAACTTGTTTTGAGCCAGCGATCGCCCTGACCTGGATTGAGTTAACCTTTTCCTACACAACAGTAACTACCTCACCCAGTCACAAATGATGTCACGAGACCGATATGAGCCGAGGCAACAACAGCAGAAAGTAGACTTTTTTAGAAAAATACAGTTTAATCTTTATTTTTAAACATAGCAAATAAAATATACACAATGTACAGATCTACAAAAAAGGAGTTAATTCCATGGATGACAATTTATTTCCGGTGTCTTTGCATTTGAGTAAAATAATATCCTGACAGCGATCAGTCCAGTTCAGATTACTTCTGCCTTCAAGATACGCTCAGCCCATCCTTGAGTGACAAGTACTGTAGAGGAGAAGGAAGAGAGGAAAAAACAATCATTAAAAGTGAATTCTTCTGACCCGTTACACCTCAGGTGAACTGAATCCCATGCATGAGTAAATCCTGCTGGTCTGGGTTCAGCTGCAGTTTACATTTGGTGTTGTTTTCGCACATTCCTCCACATCTTGACACCTTTACACCCTCTGGAGCTGCAGGGTGCTACATGGGGGCAGTGGTGCAGGTTTGGTGAAGACAGCAATTTGTTAATACATAAATTACGGGATTAGATTAGTACAGAGGCTGGCTGCAAAGGTGGCAGAAAGCTGGATAAGCTAAAAACATTATTGCAGATGCACGCAGATAATAAGGAGGTTGGATTATAGGAAGAAAATGATGCTGAAGGATGCTCTGTGCTGCTTTACTGCTATCAGGACATGTTGATTGTGTTCAATAGGTAACACTGTGGTTATTATTTAGGTATTAATATCTACAATATCGGTTTAAGTATTTCTTCTAGAACTATTGCATCTTTGACCCAATTTACTGACTTACTTCTGAGGTCAGTTAATAAATGTTGTTTGTAATTTTCTTACAGCAGGAGACTGTCACCAATTAATAAATGTATTGAAACGCCACATTCCTCCCTTCCTTCAAATTACCTTTTTCCTGCTGTCAATGGCCTGTTGGAGCCAGACCAGCTCCATGGTCATGGTGTTTCTATGGAGACGCAAGGCCTGTTGGGTGGGGGGCACTTCCTGAGCCAAGCTGAACTGTCGGGGACCTGGAGGAAAGGTGAGCGATAAGGCATTAACTCTACAGGAATCACATCTGCTGGCAACCACAGTTACATGCGTTTTCTACATGTTTTGAGTTTATTCTTCTGTTTCGTTTAAAACCTCACATTTTGATCAGATTAAATAAATGGTATGCATTTTATCACTTACATGCTGGTTTTTTTAAGCTATTTAAAAAAAGATGAAAAGGTTAAAGTGTCATCCTCCCTCTCTCGCTCTTTACTGTCTAACTTCAGCTATGCTATCATTAAAAAAGGAATGAAAGCCAAACATTTTCTTTAAAAAAAACAAAACTATAATAATGAGTCTGAAGCTCCTTCGCACCTGATTGCACCCAGGTGTGTGTTCCAAGATGGCAGCACGTTGATTTGTTTCTGTCTCTGTTAGTGTTTGTCTCGTTCTTGTTCTTCTTGACATTTTATAATTTTTAATTAGCTTTTTAGACCCGTTTTTAAATTGGTCTGCTGCGCTTTTAAAACGTTTTAAAAGCTTAAGTGTTTGGGCTGTTTTGTGCCGGTGCCTCGCTGTGACTGGATTGTTTGCTCTCTGCCTGAGCTGTCGCTCTTTCGGACTCTGGATTGCTGTCTGTCCTGCCGTGCTGACGGGGGCTGATTGACCTGAGCTGCTGATCGACCTGAGCTGCGGATCCTGAATTGGGTGTGTTAAGGCACATTTTGCCTAAAGACCCTTGTGTTCGCTTTTTGCCTGGGATTAATTGTCAGCCCGCATGTCGGCAAAACTGACGGATTGCCTCCCAGCAATATCTCTGTTCACTTCGGACATTCGGATGGTGGAACCTCTGGAGCGCTGACTCCATCGGATAGTTTTGACTAAAAGCTGACGTTTCATGGCATGAAATGCGCTCTCCCGTATGCCCTTTTTACTCTGGACTCGCTAATATCGAAGGATCGGAGCAGCCCCGACCCCCTGAGGAGCGACGCGTCCAGAGCCCATGTGAAAAAATCATCTTCCAGACTGTTAATATTGTTACTGCTTTTACTCTGGTAACGTTAACATTAACCCTGGTCCTGAGTGTTTCTCTGCTTCCCTGCATCATTTGCCAACTCCGAATGAGTTTTGCTGTAGGCAAGGATTGAGATTTCGGCATGTTAATGCTAGAAGCCTAGTGCCCAAATTAGATGTTTTCAAGACCTGGTTTTTAGTTGCTAAGCCTGATATTGTTGTAGTTTCTGAAACCTGGTTAAAACCGTCTGTCACTGACACTGTTATTCACATTGATGGATATAATGTATTCAGAGCAGATCGTAAGGGCAGAGCTGGTGGTGTTGCAATATACACTGCTGAGAAACTACAGTGCTCAGTCCTTCACTCAATTTCAATTCCAAGGCAATTTGAGTTTCTAGCAGTCCAAATAACTATAGCAAATGATCCTCTCACTGTTATTGGCTGTTATAGGCCTCCATCGGCCATCAGGGATGCAACTACTAGCCTTACTGAATTGTTGTCTACGTTTTCTTCTGAAATCATATTATTGGGTGATTTAAATTGGGACTGGTTGAGTGATAAATCTTCACAGTTTAAGCAGGTTTGTGATTCTTTGAACTTAACTCAGCTTATTGATAGTCCCACTAGAATAAACCCTGCCAAACCCAATAACGATACCCTTATAGATGTCATTCTAACAAATGCAGCTCATAAGTATGTATCTGTTGGTGTTTTTCCTAATGATATCAGCGACCATTGCACTATTGCTTGCGTTAGGAGCACTAAGTTGCCCAAAGCCAAGGGCCTTATCGTGCTCAGGCGCTGCTTCAAACACTTCTCTGAGCAGGCTTTCCTACACGATCTGGCGGAGGTTAAACTTCATAGCGTTAATTCCATCTGTCGATGTTGCCGTCCAATTTTTTATTGATCACTTTTTATCGATTATTAATAGACATGCCCCCCTTAGAAAATTCAGAGTTAAGAATAGGAACACTCCATGGTTTACTAGAGAACTATCTGATCTAATTTATGATCGAAATAAGCAATGGTCCTTAGCTAGAAAGTCTAACTCTAGTGATGACTGGCTTCTTTTTCGTGTCCTCAGAAATAAATGTTCAGCCCTTATTAAAAAAGCTAAAGCTGATTACTATCTGAGCTTAACCACTGATTGTTTTAATGACCATTCTAAGTTCTGGAAAACAATTAAATCACTTCAGAACAAGAAGGTTTCTAGTTTCCCAAATAAACTGAAGGTCAGTGATTCTTTTATTTCAGATTCAGATGGTATGGCTAATGCTTTCAATGCTCACTTCAAAAAGGCTGGTCACATTTGTTATGAGCAAAGTCATGACTCTCTAAATGGTCGTACTCACAGCCCGAGTCAAGAGATGAACTCCCCTGTTTTTGATTTAGCTTATTTCTCGGTCTCTGAAGTCTTACAGGGTTTGCAATCAATTGATCCTAAAAAGTCTGCCGGGCCTGACGGCCTCGACCCGTTCTTTTTAAAAATTGCAGCTCAGATTATAGCACAACAAGTAACTGATATTTTTAATCTCTCCCTGTCCACTCACACACTGCCAGCTGTGTGGAAGCAAGCTCTGGTATCGCCCCTCTTGAAAGCTGGTGATCCCACGGAGTTAAATAACTATCGTCCTATCTCAAATCTTTCTGCGTTATCAAAGATTCTTGAGTCCCTAGTTTCTACTCAGCTAAAACTTTTTTTAAATTCACGCAACATCCTTAACCCTATGCAATCTGGATTCAGATCAAAGCACAGTACTGTAACTGCCAGTCTGAAAGTCTTAGATGATATTAAGGCTGCTTTGGATAACAAATCTGTTTGTGTTGCATTGTTTATTGACCTAGCCAAAGCATTTGACACTGTAGATCACCACATTATGTCTAATGTTATGTTGATGTCTCGTTTCGGTCATAATGCCATTTGCTGGTTTCAGAGTTATCTAACCGACCGTACTCAATGCGTCAGGTTGGGTAGTATTGTCTCTGACCCTGTCACCTTGCAGAAGGGAGTTCCACAGGGCTCTATTTTGGGGCCTTTGCTCTTTTTATTATATGTAAACAATATTTGTAATCAGATGCAATTTTCTACCTATCATATGTATGCTGATGACACTATTGTATACTAGGGTTGCCAACCGTCCCGTATTAGCCGGGACGTCCCGTATTTGAGCCAAAAGGGGCGTGTCCCGTACGGGACTTTGTTTGTCCCGGATTCCCGTGTAAAGGGAAAAATAAAAAATATTTTTCTGTTTGCGCGCAATGCAGTGTGTCTGGCTGCGTGCTTGTGTGCTGTATCCGAAGGGCACTAGGACCGCTCAGTTGACAGGGCAGGCACAATGCTCGCACGTGTGTGTGTGAGATTTTCTCCGGTGGGCCGCGGGTGCGGCATCATTGTTTGTGTGGCATGTCAGCCTGTTCAGTCGTGTTGGAAAATGAGCGCTGCCGGTGGAGGAGGTGATAATGAAAGAGGAGAAGAGAGAGAGGATGTGGTTCTGGGCCCTGGCCCTTCTAAAAAGAAAAGACTTGTGTCTTACAACAAACAGTGGAAGAAAAACACAGTTGGGTAAAGCCTGTGAGTGGAGATCTGTCTCGGGTCTTCTCTGTTTGTGTGTGTGTGTGTGTGTGTGTGTGTGTGTGTGTGTGTGTGTGTGTGTGTGTGTGTGTGTGTGTGTGTGTGTGTGTGTGTGTGTGTGTGTGTGTGTGTGTGTGTGTGTGTGTGGATTGAGTCGATTGATGGGAAAATGGTTGGTTGAAGGATAACATTAAGTCTAATAATGATGTACCGTGCATGTTCACATCATGTATACTTTGCATTACTTAAAGGTGGGGTAGGTAAGTTTGAGAAACCGGCTCGAGATACACTTTTTGTTATATTCCATGGAATGCTCTTAACATCCCGATAGCAATGAATATCTTAAGTGCTTTGACAAAAAATCCATAAAAAAATTTCATCTGTGGAAGCCGTAATACTGTAAAAAGTACAACCAATCCGTTTAGCCGGCCCGGCTAAACGGATTGGATTGCCGCCCTGTCTGTCAGCCTTCCATCTCGTGCACGCACAAATGTATCTCGTGCCCTCATTGGGCGTGCATTGCAGCAGTACTTCAATGACTCGCCAGGCGGCCACTTTCACCAGTCTGCAGACGTCATGTGCACGTTCATGTGTGTTGGAGGAGGTGCTCTGTAAGGAAGTCTGAAGGAAGGGGCGGATTCTTTTCGGCTGTGTATTTTCAAATTTTAGTGCACTCGAGCCGGTTTCTGAAACTTACCTACCCTACCTTTAATACCATTTTTCAAATATTTATTTCTTAACATTTTGGATAAAATAGCCAATCGTACATCAAGGTGCCCAGATGTCCCTAGTGCCCACCTATCCGATTTGAACATGCTGATGTACAATGTGATGTAGTAGCCTAATGCAGGTGTAAGACCATTGTGTGTGTATTGTGTTATAGGTATGCATAGTTTTCTATGCATTTTGAGGGTTTTGGGGGGGTTTGACCCATCGAACCCTAGGGGGCTGGCTCCCCCAAAAGAATAACCCTAACCCCGAAATAAAGTAACAAAAAAAAGTAACTAAATCCGCCAGAAACCGAAAATCTTCGCGCGCGCGGGGGACACATGCCTGTGTCCCGTTTTTCCATTTCTGGAAGTTGGCAACCCTATTGTATACTCATATGCTCCTTCTCTGGATATGGCCGTTTCCAATTTAAAATCTGATTTGATCACGCTGCAGCATGCACTTCTTGATTCCAAACTGCTTTTGAACAGTAAGAAAACCAAAGCAATGCTTTTTGCTCCCAAGTCAGCGTCCTCTTGCCTCTCCATTGACACCCTTGATGGCGTCTCTGTTGAGTTTGTCGATACCTACAAATATCTTGGCTTTTGGTTGGACAGTAATCTGAACTTCAAACACCATATTGAAGTTCTAACTAAGAAATTGAAATTCACTCTTGGCTTCCTTTACAGACTTAAATGTTGTTTTTCAACTTCATCCCGTAAAAGGTTGGTTTCTGGCTTATTCCTGTCCCAGCTGGACTACGGTGATACCATTTATAGATTTGCCTGTCCCACTGTTTTGGCCAAACTTGACCCACTCTACCATGCTGCACTGCGTTATATATCAAATGCACCCTATAGGACTCATCATTGCAAACTGTATAGCCTAACTGGATGGTCCTCACTTACTATGCGTAGGATGCAGCATTGGTTTTTATTAATGTATAAAGCCATTTTAGGTAAGATTCCACTGTACATATGTGCCAGATTTGCTCCAGTTTGTGACTCTTACAACCTCAGATCCAGTGCCTGGATACGTTCCAGGTACCTGCTGTGCGGACTGAGGCTGGGAAAAGGAGTCTTTTTTATTATGGTCCTTGGTCTTGGAATGACCTTCAATCACGCCTCAAACTGACGGCACTTGTCTCAATAGCCTGTTTTAAATTGAAGTTGTCTGAAGTCCTTACCACTAGCTGCTCTTGCAGTAATAAGTAGTGCACCATTCTTACTGTCCTAATGTGCACAATGTAGTGACTGCTTTTTTGTCTTTTGTTTTCTTAGTTATGTTCTCTGTATTTTATATGTTTGTGTTATGTGTTATGTGTAACGTTGGTGCCTTCTTGGCCAGGTCAGCATTGCAAATGAGATTATATCTCAATGCTTTTATCTGGTTAAATAAAGGTTAAATAAAAAAATTTTTTAAATGTTAATCCACTGTTTTTTATATATTCGAAGCAAACCATAGCCTATATGTTCCATAATCAACTGCATATATATACATTTTGTATACAGATATTAATGTCTGCTGCAGTGCTGTGAGAGGAACTACTTTTGTTATGTTAGCAACCGTCACCTTTGTGAGAATGACCCTCGTTGTTGTCCAGCTCCAAACTGCTCCAGACGGTGGTGGAGTCTCCATCTTTCTCCCCGTCAGTGCTTCCTTTCTGTCCCTCTCCATCCTCTCTAACATTACTGCTGAGGGAACAGTCCTCAGAGGGAGAAGCCTGTCTTTTGGTTTGCGAATCATCTCGCTCTGCTTCTATCTTCTCAAGCAGGACATGATGATCTCCTTTCTCCTCTGGTAAGGGTGCTGAAGACGATGACAGTAATGATAGGCTCTGGGGACTGACACAGACATCTAGTTCAGGAGTTGAAGATTTTCTGCTAGAGCTGCGGTGTCGTAGGAATGGGCACTCCTGGTAATGCATGAGAACAGAGGTACAATTTATTTATATTATTTAATCAAGAACTGTACTTCAGTACAATCTGACTATATTTTTACTATATTTGAGTTTTTTTATTTGTATGCCACTTTCTACTTGTGATGAAGTAGATTTGAGCGATATATAGGTCATTGTGACATTCCACATTATTTTCACATACAAAACAATCAATCGATTAATTGAGAAATGATCAGTAGTAATCCATAATGAATTAATAATTGTTTGCAGTTAATATAAAATAGTAATACATTTAAAATAATAATAATCGTTATAATATATTATAGATTAATAGTCACAGGATACATGTTTCTAAATGTATAGAAGTACTTTTAATAATTTAAATAGATTTTCATATAGTGAAGTAACATTTTCAACATTTCTACTAGTAATAGAGTGGTATTCGTACTTTTGTAAGTAAAGGATTTGAATAAGCACCGATTTCAAACGATTAACGTAAACTCTCACATCCGATGTAGTTACTTACAGTGTCTGTGAAGTGGGGAATGGGGATGATTGTCTCCCTCCACTGTAAATGGGTCAACCCTCCATCAATCTCCTTAACGATGTCCTCAAAGTCCTCTCGTGCACTACGGATTTCATTTCTTACCAGGTATCTACGTGCAGATGCCTACCGAAGAGAAGAATTCACAGTAACTATAGGAACATGTCACATGTAGCCTCAAGCTAACTGCAACACTTACTTTAGTAGCGAAATGCTAAAAACAATAGCTACTATTAGCACCGTTTCTGGAGTTAGAAGGTAAACAGCCCAACATAGCTAAAATAAACACCTGAATGGAATTAGTGTAGGTATAAAACACTTCGTGGGGCTGTACGGGTTTGAAGTAGGCTAATAAGATAACACAATTACCTGAAAACAGGTGAGTATATGCTCCCATTCGCTTCTGTCCATTACTATGGTTACATGACGGAGAGCGGGAGATGAACTCAAACTTTTAATTTGTTTCCGGTGTCACACTGACAAAATAAAAGCCTCCTTCTTATTTGTAACCAAACGTGTTTCGGTTAAGCTCTTAAAATATATATTGTCGTCTTGACAATACAGGGAATTACTTTTTACACTTGTGTTTATATTTAATCGACCTAAATGATTGGAGTAAAGCCGTTGTCATGTATGTGGTGTTATATTATGGTAAAACGTTGGCGGAAGTGACCCCGTGTTTATGTACCAGCCGGTATTCAGTTTGCAATGTTGCTGCTCGTCACATGGAACGTTTTCTTTAAGTTTTTCGCCTTAACTAAAGAAAATGAGTAGTGGTTCAAATCAGAAGACGTTGTTCCAGACTTGGGGTGCATCCATCTCCAAAAACAAAGTTGTTCCACCGAAACAGGATGTCAAGAAAGCTGCTGGACGGCGCAAAACAACCCCAAGCAACACTGCTCAGGTAGCTACAACAAATCCTCCTCTCAATCCACTATGGGCTCAAATAGGGCAGGGGTGTTCATACACAACAGAAAACCAAGTGAGGAGGACAGAGGACCCTAAACCTGCATATGAAGATGATTTTGATGACGATGATTTGATGGTGGTCGCTGTTTATGAAGCTGAGAAGAGCCTACAACTTGAAAATGGGAACTCTTTTCAATATGACAACCCTGTAGCAGCAGAGAGCACTGCCCTGTCTCCCGTCCCCTCAGGTGGGCAGACATATCCAGACTTCCCTGGCTTTGACAGCTCCTCGGCTAAGGTATGGATTTACCCCACCAACTACCCCCTCAGGGAGTACCAGCTGAAGATATCAGAGGCAGCTCTGTTTCAGAACACACTGGTGTGTCTTCCCACTGGTCTGGGAAAGACATTTATAGCCGCTGTGGTTATGTACAACTTCTACCGCTGGTATCCATCGGGGAAGATTGTATTCATGGCTCCCACCAAACCTCTGGTGGCTCAGCAGATCGAGGCCTGTTACAAAGTGATGGGGATCCCACAGGCACACATGGCTGAGCTGACAGGTAACAATCATGACACACAGGCTGTGGCTCCCATCTTTCTTTTGTTATACTTTACCAACAATCAGTCCATCTCCTTTCTCTGCAGGCAGCACAGCAGCAAAGAACAGACAGGAGGTGTGGAGGAACAAGCGTATCTTCTTCCTCACCCCTCAGGTGATGGTGAATGATCTATCCAGAGACACCTGCCCGGCCCAGCAGATCAAGTGTGTGGTGATCGATGAAGCCCACAAGGCGCTGGGCAACCATGCCTACTGTCAGGTACACAAACTGTTCACTAATTATCACAGCGTTGTGTCACTGCTGACTGCTGCAGCAGTATGAAACTTTATTCACAATTGTTGCTGTAATATCAAACTACTGTCGGCAATGTGACGGCAAATCAAAAGCAGGCGTGCTTTAATGTAACGAAGTACCATGATCTTTATACTAATGAATTAATTAGCTGTAATTTGTCTAACATTAAAGAAAATGAATATACTTGAGACTATGGCAATACAATTCTCACAATGTTTTATATCGGCTCATCTTCCTGTTACTCAGGTGATCAGACAGCTCGGCAGTCAGACTCTGCAATTCCGTATCCTGGCCCTAAGTGCAACCCCAGGTGGAGATACAAAGGTAAGAACAATATCCTATATCTGTTATCCCTTTTTTCTCTCTAGCCTAATGTGACCTCATAACAAAAATCTCTATTTAACTATTTCCTTATATGATTCCACCTTCCCTCTCCCTTCAGGCGGTGCAGGCAGTGATCTCTAATTTGCTCATTTCCCACATTGAGCTGCGTTCAGAAGAGAGCCCAGACATCCAGGCCCATTCCCACCAGCGCAGTGTGGAGAAAGTGGTGGTTCCCCTGGGAGAGGCTCTTTCTGCTCACCAGGCGCACTACCTGCAGGTAGGCACAAGCATTTTAACAAAACTTCTCCTTTTCTTTAAAGCTTTTAATTTTTCCTACAAATTGCTCGGAATATGTTTGATTTCAAGTGCTCTCCTTCAAATATGTGTGATTTGCAACATAAACTGGTGTTTCTACTACACAACACTCATGTAGGCCAACAATCTTTCCACTGCTGGATTCATCACTGTTGTATACAGTAACACACCAGAACACAAAAACATTTCAACTTTAATTTAAACGTTAGTTTTATATTTCCCCTTTGTTTTTAGTGAAATATAGATGTATGGATATATAGATTATAGCATTTTACATGTGTAGTTTGTTTTGCTGCCACCTTGTGGTCACTGTTTGCTTGATTCTGTTGTAGAAGAACTTTGGCCTTAATCCTTTTCTCAGCAGCACATATTTCCTCTGGCTCTGTGGTTCATCCTGGGTCGCTTAATATTACATTGGTTGATTTGTCCTGAAAGCAACATCCTTTCCCCGCTCATTGGTCTGCCTCCAGCGCTGGTGGACTAAATGGTTCTGGATTATTAACGGACCCTACAGGCTCTCTTCGTATCACGGGTTGGCTTACTGTCAGTGTCTACTGTACTGTAAATGTGCAGCTACACTTCATCTGTCTCGACTGGCTGGGCAGCCGGAATGTGACACCTGCATTCGAGAGCTTTGACCTGTTGTACATAAGCTCTGTTGGGTCTTCTTGGTCCTTTTATTCCCATCTTTCTGATCCTTTTTGGAATCTTTGTAATAATAGAGATTGTCTGGCTTAATGTGTAATTGCTTTGACTTTCAATGTTCACCTTCTCTCTATATTACCCCCCCTGATGGGATGGCGTCTGCAGCCTGCCGGTTAACCTCCATTTCCCCCTGCTCTCTCTTAATTTGATCGGACATAGGACACAAAATACAGACATGCCTGCACTCGGGTGTAAAATGAGCACCACTGGGGTTATTCAAGCGGAATTTCATGATTGCTGAGCAAATCAGAAAAATTAGCCAGTCGTGCAGACAGGTTTTTTTTGGGGCTCAGTGTCTGTGCTGTTCCTTTTAGCTTTTGGCCCATTTTTAATATAGACATTAGAGAGAGACCAGTCCTCATAACACTTAAAGTGGCCTCATGATTTCTTGTGTCCATGCATTGTGGTTTTAATTGAGCGTAGATAGAGGTTTTTGTAGACCAAGCGTCTAATCTCAGAGAACATCTAGGCCACGGTGTCCAAGTCAGACCTGATATACCGTCATACCTTTTTACAACCTAGATAGAAACCTATGGTGTAATAGGACTCTGTTTTGGTGGCATTCCACACACATTGGAAGTCATTTGTATACGAATATCTGTTATTTACTTTAAAATATTCTATCTGTCATGAACAGTCTGTACTTTAACACGTGTCCGGTTTAAACATATAAATTGTGTTTTCATATTTATTAGAATATTTCCTGTGTACCTTGGAGTCAGCTGCAAACAGTTCTTTGTTAGAAATCCCATGTAAACATTGCACCGTATTGTGCAATAGTCTGCACTCTGATATACTATAGTGTGTGTGTGTGTGTGTGTGTGTGTGTGACCCTCTTGTGAGAACTCATGTTACTATGCTACAGTAACTCAGTATTGGTATGAAGCTAAGATGTTTTTTTAATCAAACAAACTAGGTCAGTTGTTACATTAGTATGAAAATAAATAGTTAATTGTATTTAGAGGTTTATCCTGAACTCCTCTGTACTTCTGTATATTACTTAATTTCTGCAGCAATACTCCCAGCGTGATGTAGATCTTGTGTATTGTGTATACGAGCCTAATGAAACTCCCCGTCACTGTACATTTCAAAAGGCAGGAGACAAGTATGTTTTTATTGAACAAAGAAAACCACAGTAGCTCTTGCTGTTGCACTTTCACAGTACAGCACACTTTTGCAAAACACTAAAACAATAAGCAAAAAGAAAGGAAAAACTCACACTTGATGTTCCCATATAACCAGGCCCTGACACACCAGGCCGATTTCGGCTGTTTTCGTAAGTCGGAAGACGAAGCGTGTCCTGTCGCCCAAACTCAATTTGGTGTGTCCCGCACCGTCGACCGTGACACGCCTTATTTGGACTGCCAGACCCGATGCATGGCCGATTCAACATGTTGAATCGGCCATGCATCGGGTCTGGCAGTCGGACCAAACAATCACTCTGATTGGCTGTTCAGCTAGCGAATCAGTGGATGAGAAGCGAAACGGAAGTGAGGGACGTAAACAAACGATTTAAGAAGGCACACACAGACTGATATTCATTTTCATCTCATCATGGCGATCTGGAATGACGCAAACGAAGACCTGCTCATCACATTGATCCAGGAGAGGCCAGCTCTGTACGACATCACAGAGAAAAGGTACTCGAACCAAGTAGTGAAAACCGGACTCTGGCGAGAGATTGAAACGCAACTTGGTTTCTCGGGTAAGATTATATTTTTCATCAATTGAGCTCTTTAGCAGATATTGTTGGCTTTTTATTGTTTGCCAGCGTACAGTGACGTTAACGTGAAATGTAATTTGTTATTTCAACCTTGTGTTTTGTTGTTATCTTGTTGCTAGAAGGTACAGGAGACTTGCCCCTTCGGGTAGTTGTGGAGCACCAAAGACAGCAGTGGATCATAACCAGGCTGCAGTTTGCACACGCTATTTGTTGTTGTTTATATCACGCAGTCTGTTCTTCTTCTCTGTCTTCCGGTTGTTGCCTATTTTTAATTACGAATACACACTACCGCCGCCTGCTGGTAAGGAGAGTTATTGCCACTCACGCACTGAAGTCTTTGCGGTGTGTTCCCGTACATGGCCAAGACGCAGGAGAACACCGCGACGCAACAGCCGACGTCGGCGTCAGCGAGTCCTCTGGTGACTGCTTGGTGTGTCAGGGCCTTTAAAGGAAAACCCCACGCACATGAATCATGGCTTTGCAAGTCAACTCTACAATCATTTAATGCAAAATCAATTCTTTGGATTTGGATATCTTGATGTCAACCAAAACTGCCTGACTTTAAGACTGGGCAACCTTTCCAACCCAAAACGAACTTTCTTAATATTTTTGTTATGTGGATTAAATACAATGAAACAAACCTGCTGAGCTGAATTTCACTTTTGAATTTTACACACAATTATTAGGCCTCAATAACTGACCGCAGAAGCATTTCATAGGATGCCCCTGTCCTGGTGAATCACACAGTGATGATTTGGCTAGTTCACTTCCAGTTTGATTTCACTGGCACCCAAGCAGTAAATGTAAAGTAAGCAGAAACATTCCTATATTACTGTGAACTCTAGGTGTAGCTGGTTTGATGTGTATCACTTTGTGTTGGATTGCATTAGTTTTTAATTACAAATATATTGAAGATAAACATATATATACTTAATTCACTCTGTCTTTATCTACTCTCTTTAGATTGGTGATAGAACATTAAACAGTTTGAACTAAAAGAGAATGTAGCTTCTATTGAACATAAAGTGTATAATCACAGTAAAGATATTCTCTTCACTCGTCTTTTCTTAGTTGCATTGTCTCTACTCAGCAGCAGTGGTGTTTGCACTAACATTGACACATAGTAGAAAGAGCATAAGAGGTACACGGTAACTATTTTATGTGTGAATAGATTTGAAACAAGGAATGCATTTACTTGCATCATTTTCTTAAGAAAGAAGGATGTATTTATTGAGTACTTTGATTGTCATTCAGCTGTAAAATCAGTGAGTTTTTCAGTGTTTGGTTTATAGAAATGTGTCATTAGTTGTTACCCTCCATATAGCTGTACATTCATGCTCAAACAAACACATAGTGTGCGTTTTCATTAGTGTTTCCTGTTGTGTTGAGCTTATTTAAAGTTGACGCCTCGGTTGTTGTCTATCTGGTTGTGTTGTCAGCGACTGAATTTAACCATACATTGGGTTTGGTTAAGTGGCTCAGCAACTCTAATAACTTTATTTTTTTATATATTGCACTTACTACTAAAACAATATAGCATATCAGTGTGACTGGCATCACATTGTTGTGAATCATGTAGTCAAGAGATAAAGGAAACGGCAAATAAACCGTGATAGAGTTGAAATCACCTCAGCTAGCTAGAGAATGACAGGGAAACACGTCTGTTTGTGTTTGTTGTGCATTGACTTTCAGCCCACATGACAAGACATTGCAGCTGTGCAACTAACAGAAAGGGAGCATGATAAGGCTGCATGTCCTCTGGGAACCTGCCTCCGCTGTGAAAAGACAGGCCGTTGCATGTGTTCACACAGCGCTTAAGAGTTAAAACTATTGCAACTACAGGGCACTGTGCTTAGGAAAGGTTAATTGCCACCTCAATGTAAGAGCGAATGCTATACTGCACTGTTATATCTGTGTTGTGTCCATGAAGGATATGGCAGTGGTTTGGTTGAGCTCTTATGGGTGGAATACGGATCTATCTAAATGAACATGGAAAATTCACCGAGGGTAGAATAAGGGCTGAGTTTTTTTTTTATGGCCCCAACTGGTCTGGAGTGTGCTGGGCTGATGGTCGTTTCAGGTAGAGGTGGCGACTAAATACTGGGTAGCACCTCACCTGAGGCTGTAGCTGAGCTGCGGCAGTGTTAAGGGAGTCTTTATGAGGCTCAAGGGTCACAGATAAGAATGATGCTTAATCTTCTCTCGTCCCTCAGGGCCGCTCTAGGAACCAGATCTCGTTCTGGCGGTTGATGTGAGCAGGGTTAGTGTAGCCGGCCACCATGAAGGAGTCGTTGACGCACTCGCCAGCGGGCTCTAGCTGCTCAGCCATGGCATTGATCTGCTGAATGATGGTCACTTCATTGGTGGGACCAGTGAAGGGCCTAGAAGAGGGATGTAGTCGTGCATACATTTGAGGAATCACATTTATACAGGCCTAACTATTGATCAATAATCATAAATACTTATTGTAAGCTACCAATGCTAACGAGAAGAGAGAGTTTATTTTAGAATAGCACAAGTTAACGTTGTTATATTGTCTTGCACTTATTGTAAGTCCCTTTGGATAGAAACGGTATCTAAATCAAATATAGATCTATCTACCTTTTTTAAGTGGACTAATTGGTTGTTTTGGTCTTCATCGACTAACATTTCAATTGACAATTAAGACCTTTATTTTTATTTTGAATGACAAGTCTTTGTAGAGAAACTCAGGGTTACAGTTTTATTGGTTATACAACTAATCGATTAGTAGACAACATTATATGATCGTTGGACAACTAAAGATTTCTTTACTTGAGTACAGCCCTACATTCTCAACTGACCTTGAGTATACAGTAGCGGCGGGCCAGATCTCTATGGTGATGTCGGTGTCATTGGGTTGTGGCGGCTGGGCCTGATGCTCAGTGGGAAGAAAATATGCCACCCTGACGTCATTGGAGATCGTAGAATGACTCTCATCTGTGGTCACCACTGTGACGATGGGCAGCGTCATGCCCAGGTAGCTTTCTAGAGATGAAATACAAATAGATGTTATTAACTGTAAGACTTGCTTGAAAAACAAATATGAAGAAAAGGCAGGGACATTGAAAGGGCCATAACCTTATTTGAAATAGTCCATTGTTTGTGAACTCACCCAAGGAGTTCTGCTGGCAGATGTATCTCATAATCTTCATAAAACCATAGCAGATGCTCTGTTCATAAGTTTCCTCACGCATCGTTGTACAAGCCCAGTGGCCCTTCTCGTACTGCCGTTTCTCGTACAGCAGCTCCCCACACTGAAAATGATAAGAGAAGACTGGGTTGTAACTTGAAATACTCTTGAATGCTGTTTCAAATTAGATTATATCTTTTTAATCAAATCAAGTTTTATTTTATATAGCACATTTATAAACGATTTTTGGTCGAGCCAAAGTGCTGTTCATATAATAAAAATAGCCTACAGTAGAGACACTTTACAGCAAATACAACAGCACAGATTGTTCAGAATATCAGTATGAGAAAAACGACACCCTCTATCCTTAGACCCTCACATCGTACAAGGAAAAACTTCCAGAGAAAACCCACAGTTTAAAGGGGAAAAAATGGGAGAAACCTCAGGGAGAGCAACAGAGGAGGGATCCCTCTCCCAGGACGGACAGACGTGCAATAGATGCCGTGTGTAAATCGAAGAGATAATACATTTTACAGCATATAGACCGAATGTTAGGAAATGCATGTGTCTGTAATAAGAAGATGAATCCACGAGGATGTCAGCTACAATCCTGTGGAAGCCATCAGGGAAGCAGCATGGCGAGACCCAAGGCAGGACCGCAGAGACAGGTTCAGCCACGACCCGAACGTCCACGACTTAATCCAGAACTCAGGACACAGGACTACAGCAAGACACAGGACTACAGCAAGACACAGGACTACAGCAAGACACAGGACTACAGCAAGACACAGGACTACAGCAAGAGGATCAGCCTCAAATCAAATGAACTTATTCTATTATAACTGGAGAAGGATTTTGAGAATGCCAGCAACAGACTTATAGAAAGCTAACCCTAACTGCTTACTACACAAGTTGTAAAACATAACTTTGTGTGTGTATGACATATTTTCACTGACACATTTATAAAACTTGGTTGGACTGAATACATTTTAGCTGATGAGGTGTTGTAAAGTTATTATTACTGGTGCATCTTTTGGATTTTATTTTTACTTTAGTTACAGACTGTCAGTTAATATTCTTCAGTTTTTTTGACCCTACTGTTAACTATCCAAAAAAGATATATGATTAAAGCAGCTCTTCAAGTTCTAGCTAGATAATTATTCTGAATATTTAGATGAATCAGTGATAAAAGTAATACTTTGTTTTAGGGCTGCTCAATTAATCGTATTTTAATCGTAATTACGATTATGGCTTGCAACGATTACGAAAACAACGTTATCGAAATAAAACAATTATTTTTTGAATATAATTATTACTTTATTTTTTTTTTTTCAAATAATTTGTTTTTGTTTTTGTTTTTCAGTTGAATTATACTTAAAGTTCAGGGTAATCAACTGTTAAAAACATACTGTTCACATTTTTTCCTCCAATAAATTGATGTTTTCAAAGTAAATGGATAATCGTTTTTAATAATCGTGATATCAATTATTGACCCAAATAATCGAGATTATGATTTTTGCCATAATCGAGCAGCCCTAGTTTGTTTCGTACTTTATTCATGATTATATTGAGAAAACGTCTCCCTTGAAGTTCAAGCGAATGACCTACTGTTGGAAATCTGCTTCCTGTCAACGTGCTGTCCTTACAAAGCACTGACACCTGCTCTAAGAATAGGGTGCCATGATTGTCCTTTGTTTAATCGAAGTCTCCAGCCACGTTTTAACGAACTAATTGACTCAAGTTAAATCAATTAGCCCTCTTTATTTATATGGTCCCCTAAGGAGTTTAAATGGCTTATTGTATAGGGTGACATGGTCATTATGTCAAATATAAATAGCTGACCCATACTCAAACAGAACAGCTAACCTATGTTATTATTATATAGAAAATGTACAGAAAGACATGTTTTCCACCAGCTGAAAGTATTTGTCTTGGTGAAAGTATTAAAAGTAGATACCTTTTCTTTGCGTCCGAGCATAGTGAAAGGGACGTGTTCTCTGCTGCTGTGTCCTTGGTTGTTGGTGGTTAGCTGTTGAATTGGCGCTGCCATTTCTGCAAACAGACAAACAATACTTAGTCAGTTTAAACAATGTAACAACAATATAGTCATTAACGTGTACACTGCAGTGGCGAGCCGTCAGGGCCCTCTAGGCCCTCTGTGAGGGCCTAAGATATTCTAAAAAAATAAATTTGAAAACATTAAAAAAACAAACGTTTTTTTTTAAATATTAAAAAATATATTTGTTGTTTAATATTAATATTTTTTGTTACATTTTTCATTAGTTTTACCAAAATAACTTGATTTAATTGTATTTAAAATAATATTTCCAAAGAAATAAATCCTTCGAATCTGCCTGTTCAGTTTCTGTTGGAATGTGAAGGGTTAAATGCCGTCTCTGCGAGTTGTGAAGACGGGAGGGCTTGTTGGTCCCTGGCTGCTTCTCAGGTCGATTAAATTAAATCCTTGCTTCCCTCACTTGCGTCGTTTCCCTGCGTTTAGTCCCTCCCACCAGGGAAGCATGGAGGGACGCAAGGAAACCACGAGAAGCAGGGAAATGAGTTTTAAGAGCAATGGGACGTCCTTTCCTCCGGAGCGTCACGTGAAGCGACGTCCGTTAGTGATGACGCTGCACAGCTGTTCGTCTGGCAGCAGCCAGCTCTGTACCCGTTATTTCCACAAACACCCCCGCCTCTGTTAGTGCACATTTACTGACATAAACATTAGTATCATCTGTTGTAGATCCAAATACATGAAATAAAATAAGAAGTCATTCTCAAAAAAGATAAACGCCATTCTTAAAATGTATAAACGAAAAAAGCGATCATGAAAATGTTTCCAATAAATGAATAAAAAAATGTTTGACCACTTTGTTGTTCAGATATATCACATATTTGTAACTAAATGATACATGAATTGAAACAAAACACAGTATAAACTGAGGAGTGAGTCCCGTGAGGTTCATGTATTTTCTTCACTCCGCTGGGGTATTGCTCTCATGTCAAGAAGCATCAGATCAGTGCATGCACTGCCTCGTCCAATCACTGAGCAATACACAGTAAGGGGGCGGGGTGAGTATCTGAGGATTTCATCGGAGGATGGTCTGGTGGTTCCTCGGTTATCGCTCCTCCATGATCGCTCCTCGCCCCTCGATCCTCGGTCCTCCGGCAGAAATAAGAGCCATGGGACGGTACTCAAGATGGCGCAGGCAAATCAACTTCCGGTGAGACCGAGGAGCGAGGAAATGAAAATAGTCGACCTGAGAAGCAGCCCCTCTCTACATTCACAGAGGGCCCAGCTATAGTAACTCAACGAGAGAGTAATGTCAAATGACAGTACAATTGACCAATCATATCTTCCCTCTAAATGGGCGGGCTTTATTTTCGCGGACTTTATGACAAGTTCCGCCCGCTGTGAAATCTATGCAAGTGGTGCAGTGACGCGTCCTAAAACCCGGAAGTAAGCTTCACTCGGATTCCCTCGACAAAAGAGCAATGAATTTCTCCATAGGATTTTGGAAAATAGCTCGAAATAAGGTCTGTGGAAAACGAACCTGTTAGATAAATGCACGTTTTGTTCAGCCGGATAATATCCACATGTCTACCCTACTTTTATTATTTTCGAATCATAAATCTAAACTATAGATTTATGATCGATATATTTATAATTAGCATAAGTTCGTTCATGATGGCTCACTTCAGTGATAGTGATGACATCGTTGCAAAATTATTAACCGAGTCATTTTCAAGATTGAGTTACAATGATAAACTGGAGTGGCAAAGGATCAGCTGAATGACCCGCAAGTGCTTCATCCAAAAGGACAGGAGGATGGACTTTGTGTTTAAGTGATTTGATCATCAAAGGTAGGCCAAAGTCATTTTCAATGCGGGCCGCCGTGCCGACTAAATTCATTTGTAATTGTTACTTGGCTGTGGATGCCCTGTCATGATAGGTGTTTATATAAATGGTGTTGTTTTGTGTGGTAGAGGGTCGCTGTCATTAATGCGTTTTGCACCCCGGGCCGCGGTTTTGATATTCCGCTGAAGTATACGCTGTGACGTAATATCTCTTCTTTTGTTTCTCGAGGGAAGGGGGGGTCAGAGGGCCTAGGTATAAAAGTCACGGCTCGCCACTGGTGTACAGTACAGTGATATATTTCCATACAACTGTTTTACACCCGCATTAGGTTTGTACTAGAGCTGTGAAGACAAGTCAACTAAAATAAAATAATCGTCGACCATCTTGATCTTAATCGTTTTCATGCTTAAATGGGAGAAATTGAATTTTTGGGCTGTTGTATAATGCATCCTCATTTCTAGTAATCTACTGTCAGGCAGTGTTGGTACTTTGTTTGAGGAAAGGCTGCCAGATGGGCAGAGCGCTGTGCCAGGATGTCACAGAGAGTCATGTTCATTGGAGCTGATGGAGAGAATGCTGACTAAAGCTGCCTTTGGGCAGCTTTAGTCAGCATTCTCGCCAGATATAGACTTGATATATATCGCCAGATATAGACTTGAATTAACAGAGATGGACTACAGCAGCTCATGCATTTGAAATACTGGAGCATCTTTCACCTAGTACCACATTTTTGATTAAAAACAGCATAGTATGGATCTAAAATGTGGTGTACCCCCAATGGAACTGTAACTTAAGGACACCTTGTAAGCCACACATGCTTAAACTGAATTTAGTGTGGACAATGCCGCATAAAACTATGACTACAGCAAATCATTCACTAAGTTGTCAGTGAATTAAACATTAACAGGACACTGTTATTATAATGCTAATGTTGTCTGATCCAATAATGCCAATATATTCCATTGTGAAACTGTCAAATACACGTAAGTGAAGGTGAACCCAATCCAATCACATTTTGTCAATCAATATCATGGTGGAGAACTGGTTCAGTGGTATCTGTGGTATTTAGGTGATCAATCCTCCCAACAAGCTGTCTGTCTGAGAGGATCTGAATGATACGAAACTCATTGAAGATCTCATGGAATCAAGGTTACACTGTAAATCACTGATTATGAGGAGTGGCTCGGCATAGAGAATGACCCTGTACGTTTGACAGTCAAATATTACCCATCAGTTTATGTCTGAGTCCTCAATAAGAGGGACAAGGGAAATAAAACACTTTAGAGCTTAAACTGCTGCATGGTTGTCCACATTCCATCTTTTTTTCTTCTCTGATTAACTGACAAATCATTTTGAGACGATTTTGTTTTTCAGCTTTTAACGACTTCACTTCCCTTATAGTTCAGACTATATCCTACAGATAACCAGACTCTACAGTAGCACCTCTGTTCAATGCACATTGTTTTCCTTTTAAACAAATTGCACATAATATACACATTTAAAGTATTTAAACATTGTTCCAATGTCAGAAATATACACAGGAAGTGTAATCAGCAGTGGTAGACAATGGATTTTGCGCAAAAACGCTGTACATAGTGCAGCGGAGGGCAAGTAACCAAGAACAAAAGTTAGAGTCGAGCTTGCTGTAGTAAGTGGTGAATGAGCAGTATCATTTGTAACTTTTCTTACGTAAAAGTTGCAGAATTGTTTTCTACCGTGTGTACTGTTAAAATAATGTGTGGTGTCACATTTCCGGTCAGTTGATTGAGATTATTAAGTAGAAACATGGGGCAGTGTGTATTTCATCTTTTTATAACCCCTGTATGGAATGCTGTATGTGTTGACGGGCCTGTGCAACAACACTGAAGGACATACAGCACAGAAACATGTGCATACTTGTTTTCTTTAGTCTCTTGCAAACACACTTACAAAGTGGAAAAAGGTCACAACAGATTAGTGTGGGAAAAGATCAGGGTGTAATTACGTAGGGTTTTTGTGATTTTGCAATAAAACACTGCGGTTTAATTTATTTTTTGTTTATTGGGTGCGCTTTGTTTTTAACTTTTCATTTGGTGTTCACTAAAAAACATTGCAGTGCCCGTCTGAGACTCTTCTGAGCAATACATTCCATCTTGTTTACGAGCTACAAAGCCTGCGTGCATCCACATCAGTTGATGATTTCTGCTCCTCTGACCTCATTTTTCTTTGCAATGAGGCATTGTGGATATCCTTTGCAAATAATAACATCTTTGTTTCCAGCAAAGACTTTGACTGGAAACAAAGACGATGGAAATCATAGTCTGTAAAGGGCTTTTGTACATTACTAATAGGTTGTATTGTAAGAGTCAAACATGTACAATGCTACAGATGGGTCTTGCTATAGATATAATTTAAACAATGAACGCATATTTTGTTCACACTAACAACAACTAGGTGGTTGCTATGTTTTAGCATTAGCTCATGTTAGCCAGTCAAATGAACTCTAACAGTCTGGAAATCAGAACTCCCACAAAACCCCTGCTCCATCCCAATTAGAGAAAATGAGTTTACTGTGGCCTTGTACTGGAGTTAGCAACAGTGTCGTAGTCCAGGATTTAGCAGCCACAACAGTGATTTCGTACCACGTCCTCAATTAGTGGGGTGTTCTGAGGATAGAGGGAGGAGAACATGTCGGTCTGTGTTATTGGACTCTAAGAAGTCACCTAGTTAGATGACAAATACCTAAAGAAGCGGGTATGGGTCTGCATTTAGAGGGAACAACACTGGGCAGTGACTGCTCTCTAATAATTCCCAATTTGTTGTTTTATGTCCTATTCTTTTATTCTATGCTCCGCGGTGCTCACTGGCTGTGAGTGTGCGTGTGTCGGGATGCATTCCGGTATTACCGAAATACCAGTTACTGCTACGGTATACCGTACCGAAATCAGATCCGGTTTCGATACTTTAAAAAAAAAAAAAAGAGGTCCAAGAAGTCCCACAATTGAATTTAATATTCATTTGACATGTTAACTATATCGTAAAGCGCTTCATGGGAGTAATTGTGGGATGATACATTTTCAAAGTATCACGATATATATCTGTTGAGTATCGGTATCGTTCAGTGGTATCGTAAAAAAGTCAACGATATGCATCCCTACGTGTGTGTGCTCAGGCTGATTTCTGCGGTGTCTCGCAGACCCCACGCAGCAACCAGGAAACGACACCAGTAATCCAGCTCACACTGTCCGCCTCAAAGGGCGCAGCAGCGAGCCCCGCAACGTCCCGCCAACACGGCACCCAGTCCCAATGCAGCATTCTCATCTGTTTGTCATTACTGGTGTCATTTTCTGGTTGCTAAATGCCATTGTAACACATGAACACTGATGTCCAGCTGTAACGGTGGTTGACTCATCCGAACGGAGTGGGCAAGCTGACCAATCAGAGCACAGTGGGCTCATAGGGAGGGGGGGGAGCTACAACAAGGCGTGTAGGACAGAGAGTGACACACTATACAGAGTTGCTGTATGAGAAACCAATGTGATTTTGGAACATTGAACAATATAAATCTATTCTAGTAGACCTCAACAATGGAATTATGATCAGTAGAAATGGCCATGACATGGGACCTTTAAATATTGAAGAAGGCTTTGATGTTGATTTAATTAATGGTGTTTTTTTTAAATAAGCATTTTATTTATATATTAAACTCTTGAAGTTAAGCTAATCTCATTGGGTCCAAGATGTGTAATAGCTGTGATTCGAAAACACCTGATGTTGTTGTCTCTAGCTAAACACTAAAATCACACTCGAAAAGCTACAAGTTGACAAATCAATCATTGATTGAAATAATAATATATAATTCAGGTCCTTTTTTTGGTTTGTATTGGTCAACAATCTTCCAGAAAAACAACAGTGGAATTGAAATAGACTTTGAAAATAAGCCAATTGAAGTATCAGTGACCGAAATCATTTATTTTTCCATTTGATTTCTGTTTGATTCCTTGACAAAGTGATGCAGTTTTTGCCTGTCAGTTAATATTTGTTAACACTTCAAAACCAATTTGACACCTGCAAATGTCAAATTAGGATGTTAAGACCAATTTTGACCGAACATGTTTGCACTTTTTGTGCTGCAACAGGGATGGGCAGCCTGAGGGGCAGCTCCTCTGCACATTTATATCAGTGAATTGGTCGGAGGCCGTCTTTTCAGTTCAGGACTTGCAGAGCAGTTCAACCTTGAGCGCCCTAACGACACTCCAGATAACTTGTAAATAGATCATGAATATATCGGTCGGGTGGCGCAGTGGTTTTTGCATCTGATCATCAGATCAAGGGGGGGTGCTGGGGAACTCCAGTTCGAAACCCGCTCCTGCCGCCACTGCGTCAGGCCGTTGTGTCCTTGGGCAAGACACTTCACCCGGATTTGCTCCTGTGGGTATTGTCCACAGTACATGTATAATATCAATGTGTACTTGCGCCTCGATGACTTTGAGGCGTGAAGATGGACAGTGTGGCGCAGGGCACTGTGCAATGATCATCAGATCAAGGGGTGAAACCCGCCGCTGCTGCGTCTGTAAAGCCGTTGTGTCCTTGGGCAAGACACTTCACCTGAACTTGCTCCTGTGGGTATTGTCCACAGTGACCATTGCATGTATAAAAAATATGTGTAATGTGTATTTGTAAAGCGCTTTGAGCATCTGGAAAAGCGCTATAGTAAATGTAAGGAATTATTATTATTATTATTACCCACATTGCAGCCATTTCCCCCTGGCTAGATCCAACATAGTGAGAATAAATTAAAAGAATATAACTTTGCAACCTTTCTTGTTTTCCTGTAGCATTTAGATAATTAAGTAAGCGTTCAGATTGGTAACTTTTGACATAAAGTAACACATCCCCATGTTGCCTGTGAATTTACTGTCATACACTGAATTTTATAGCAAAAAATAAATCATTGCAATTTTACCAGTGATTGTAAAAACACAAACGGGCACTTTGTATACCTCGCAAAGACCAGGTAAGCCATTTGACCTATTGTTTTTAATTGCGCTTCTAACTAGTAGACACAAAATATGATAGTATTAATGTTATTATCAAAAAGATGACTAATTCAGCAATGTCATGTCGTACTGGTGTAATAGAATATTTAAAAACACAAGAGGAAACCAGTATTTGCCATTTATATTCCTGAAAACAACACAATACGCTTGGATCTGAGCAAATGCTTATTTACATGTCATGTTAATTACGACCGCCTGACTGTACTTGTGATCCCTTGCTTTCTGTGCAACAGTGTTACGTTTGACAGAGGGCTTTCACAATTGTTTTGACCAAGTGGATCTCCACAATTCCCAATAGACCCAACAGATTTATTCTTAAAATATGGAAAGAGTAAAAAAAAATAATGTATATATATGTTTTCTTCTTCCCGGTCCCATGCTTTCACATGAGGAAACACAACTTGTTTACAACAATTTGATCATTTAATTTACGACCTGTCTCAACCCGCCAAAAGTATTAGCAATGTGTCCGTGTTCTCCAAAAGCTGGCCTTGCATTTAATGCATTACCGTTTTGAGTAACTATGCGGTTGGTCAACAAACACGTTTGACTGAAGGACAGGGAATGCAAAGTCCTGCGTGGAACTGATTTATCTGAGCCTGACTGAAAACTAGTTCAATGCACATGGAGCAGTGAGGAAGTGTAGACAAAGTGTATTAACTGTCAAACATGTGTTGTTTTTACTCATCTCTGCACCTTACCTAAGTTTATATCCAAAATAAGACGGCTCGCTTAAAACATAAAGTACTACAGCCTTTTATTATGTACGTAGGCCTATGTATTTTTTCCTTCGTCGTGTTTATTTTTAATTATTTTACCTGGTGCCACTTCCACCTGGTGTCCCCTCGCGACGTCCTGCCAGTAATGCAGCAGTCGGCCGGACTCTTCCTCCTCCTGCATGGTTACTCTCCCTTCCAGGCTGCCGTTGCCCGAGTCTGACAGCTGGTCTTCCGAGAAAGACTCCAGGTCTTCCAGGCTGATCATCCCGCTGTTGTCTGGCCCGCTGCTGTCACCACCACCCCCGCCACTCATCTGGCAGCCACCTCGGTCCATTTCTGTACGGAGAACTAGCACTAAAGAAGCGAAAATACCTTAAAAAAGAAGCTCGACTCACTTGTCAATCCTCGCTGAATTTACGCTACGTTACTTGTTTTTCTTCGGACCTTGGCGTGTTTGCGTGTCCAGATTAGGGCAGTCGTTACTTTCTGGTCAACAAACCAGGCGCTACGTATATTTCCTCGACATATGCAGCGATATTCATGCTCTCATTCATACATCCGACTTTAACGAGCCATGTTCCTTCGACTTTATATTTAAGAGGTCGCCTCCCCCGGAGCCGAGTGAGCTTCCTAAGCTGCTGCAGCCTGAGGTGAATGCGATGTTTACAGGAGATGAGGTCGCACCACGTGACGCTGCGGCCCGGGCTCCCACTACTACCTCCTCCTCCTCCTCCCGCCCGAAACCGTAAATACCCAAGACCCTCACCCGGGTACACACGTTTGTTAATCAATAATATTCCAGAAGGGGCGAATATGGCAACAATTACACAAAGCCTAGGTCTTTAAGCGGTATTTTCTAAATTATTGTTGTTATTTTCTAATTTGCCTTTTATGCAGGTGCAAATGTGTGTATGCTTAAACCAATAGCGTTGCAAATTATTATTATTTTCCCATTAACAATTCCTCTTCAGAATATTTGACCGATTATTTATTTAATTGGTTTAGCTATAACATATCTGAAAATAGTAATAAATGTATACTGCATAATGGTCAACTTAATTCTTTACCAATTGTGTTAGTACGAAAAATGCATCTCTGTTTTAGTTGATTGTTTAGTTTTTTTGTTTAATTTTTTATATATAGGCCTATATATTTTTTTTTTCTCAGGAAAAACTAATTAACTTGGAACATCAAATTAGGAGTAAGTTTATTATGTCTTTTATTGTAGCAGATGGGGAACTGAAATGTACCCTTTTGAGGATAATAAACACACTTGAACTTGTGTGTTAGAGGACAGACTAAGCAGGATTTCCTCTGATCTGTTTAGTTGCAACAGCCAACCACCATGTTGTACCCTTCAACATGCACGTAGAGAGGACATTATATAATCCTCTACAGTCTGTGGGGGATTCTCCATCTAAATACACACATGCAAACGTGCACACATACACTGATACACACACACTAAAAATACTCTACTTAGCCCCCATGCCTGGATGTAGACCTCGTCCTACACAATTGCAGACATGCAGTGGTAAGAATTCAGCTTATTGTAGGGTTTGTCATTAATAGCTGCCTATGGCCTTTTCAGCTTTTCACCACGTCACTTAGCTCCATGCCCCTTAACCAATCATCTGTTGGCCACAGCTGGAGCATGCTCAGGGAGGCTGTCGTAGACAATGCTGTCATTTGGCACACATCCTCCTATCCTCTCTACTCTACTCTTTTTAATAATCTTAGTGGCTTTGCGGACATTTTAAATCTTACATTCACGTCATATTTGTTTTGCTTTTTTTTTACATTACATGTCACTTGTTTTTTTTTAGACCCTCACTCTGAATTCATAAATTGTAGAAAACAGCGATCTTACCTTTTTTATAGGTGCGACATGTTTTATAGACTCAACAATTAACATTTTATAAGGGCAAAAAAAAGGGCAAATTACTAAATGATGTATGATAATATAATAACCTTTGGCAGGCTGCTGGCATAGGCAACTGTTTCAGACATGGCACATCAGTGTAAAGGAAACATGCACACACTTGTTGTAGTTTCTTTGTGCACTTTGTCATTTCACTCCACATTCCAGCCAGACAAATACGGAGACCTCACTAATCTGGTGCCGAGTAATCTCATAATCTGGACCTGATTACCACATTGCCTCATTAAGCCCCACCTTTCAATTAACTAGAGAGAGAGATTTTGCCTGTAAACAGATTGTGGGCCTGTCTCTCAAAATGCTGTCTGCTTTTCTCTGACACGCACAACCAGAAATACATGCATATACAGCACATTAGACACACAGCAGAACACTTCATATTACTATGTTTATTGATTTAAAATTGTCAAAGTCTTTGTGAAAACAAGTCAATTTATTTTAACCTCACAATAAATGTAAGAATTATTTTACACCGTACAGAAGAAAAGGAAGAAGTTAGATGGATTTAAAGACAAACTTGTTCCTCTGGTGTCTCCACCACAGGCTAAATATGTACATTTTGACCTGAGGGTGGTGCCAGAGAAAAGGTCATGAGGCACAATCTATGGAAGCAAACAAGAGACAGAAGTATTTGAATTTTATTAGACACCGAATTTATAGCATTGAAAATAATTACTTTGAAAATCATGAATCTGAATTTTTTTTGCTCCGAATTTATCCATGTGAAATAAAAATGTAAAAATTCAAGTTAAAAAAATTCGAATGTTCAAATTCAGATCCCAAAAATTCAAGTGAAAAAAATTCGACGTCAAATATTTCGGTGTTTAAAATTCGATGTAAAAAAATTCGGTGTGTAAAATTCGACGTCAAAAATTGCGATGCAGCCTCATCCGGGCTACTCAGACAGGATAAGCAATCGAGCCCTAATGCAATCAAACCGACTTCTGGCCTATCAGAGCCAAGCGGCAAACCCCGGGACAGTGCGGTGAAGCCCAATGCTGCAAACTGTAGGCGATGGATGCAGATGGGAGCAATTCCCGTAGACCCTTTGTTAAAATGTCCAACTTAACATCAGAAAATGAACATGTTTCTAGCCTGGATCTACAAAAACATATTCTGTATATAGTTAGATTCCCCCTTCATGACAACGGGACTGCTGCTCCTAGCTCCTCTGTCTCACTGTTAGCTCCGTGATGCTACAGCGGCTCAGCTCATGAGGAGAACACTACTTGAACTCGGCCGTGTTTGTTCTGTTGGCTCCTGGTGGACTATTCGTCCTGCAAATATAGGATTTATCTGCGGTTGAAACAGACCGTCCATGAATGCAGTTTCTTCGGTAAGTCAACCCTGCGTACTTTATGTTATGTTACTGGTGTTTTTATTAAGCTAGTTAATGAATGTTTAGAGTTGGAGTAGCATTTGAGCAATCGTAGCTCCATCTGTGCTAACGATGCTATGCGTAGCATCCAAGAGTGTAAAACATTAAGTGGGATGCTACTGTATACCAAAAGGCTTCTGAGCGAGGTTGCTAAAATAAGGTCATCCTTGTACGTTAGATAGTTAGTTTGCTAGTTAGGTTACGGTATGCATTGTTAAGGTTCGTTTAAATTCGCTATGCTCTACTATAGCATAAAATAGACTAGCTAACGTCAACGTATTGTTGAAGAGAGGCTTAGTGTATATTAAATCAACCTCACAATGAAATATGTGTACCTTTTTTAAAATATGAACGTCACATTTCAAGATAATAACGCTCCCTTAGATATTGTAATATGGTTTGTTGAACTGGAGTTATTTATTGCAGCTAACCGCCTATCCGACGAACGACCCAAACATTGTTGTTTTTAATATTATTACCAATGCCTCTTTTAATTGTATTATCAACACACTTGAGAAACAGCCTTATCGTGGCTGTACAACGGAACATGTAACTTAATGCCTGCATTTAAGGACGATGAATAGCGTAGTCAATGCTTTAGTGACAAGGAAATGATTTGTTTAAATATTAGATATGACGTTATCTGTGACTTCAGTGGAAATGAAGCTTATCCATTGCATTGCATTTGTTCAATAGGTTTGTGTGTTACCCTTACGTGTGTGATGCATATGAATATGGCATATGAAAACAAATTAATTTGACTGACTCATGAGAAACACATCCAAAGTAACAGTAAAATAAAAAGGACCTACACAATAATACTCAATCAAACTGATACAGTATAAGGACTGTGATATCCAGCAATTTCTTAAGTATAACAATAAGATTATGACCTGTTTTTAAAAGAAGATAACAAGTTGTTTGCATGTAAAGAAGTCTAACCCACGCATGTAACTTTACATCTGTTTGTTCAAAGTGTCCTCAAGGTGATCCAGACAGGCTGGACCAGAGGAGGAGAGACAGATCTGGAGTCCTAGCAGCAGAGAACTTCAGCACGGATTCCAAGGTACACCCTTTTCATGCTTTACAAAGAATGCATAAAGTAATGACTCTAATACACTGATATACATGCCATTAAACATGACTGAATACTAGATCACCTACACATCAGTGATGTTGAGTGGACTTTATTAGCAAAAGGTTACATTTACATTTTACCAAGCAACATCACATAGTGAGAGCTGCGACCCTTTGTCTTTCAGTGAGACAACCGCACAGAGCAAGCTTCCACAGTTGCACTAAGTTTTGATAACAGTTAAATATTATTTTAATAATACATTTATTTCAATGTTGATGAATTTAGAACGGTTGATTCATAATCTGATTATCTTTGTAGTACACTGTTGGATTTAAAAAACACATTCAAATAAAAAAATCATTATATTTATTAACAAACAAACACACCTCTTTCTTAAATAACACACTTGCTCTGCAATAATATGTTTTTTGATATTTCTGTTAGGAAAGGACAGGCCTGAGAGACTGGACTGCTTCACCATGTTCTCTTTCTCTGAGGGTCCAGAAGAACATCCAAGAGGGAAAGGAGAAGCTGATGTGATGAGATTTAAGAGCAGTACAGGACATTCACTAAGAGACACTTGTATTGTAACACAAAGACCTGCACACTGAATAGTTTTGTAGTCTAACAGGAACTTCATTTGTGTTGTTTTGTGTTTTACGTGGCACCTCAGAGACAGTGTGATTATTGTCAGGCCTATAAAGTTTGGCAAAAAAAAAGTCAGCTGATCAAATGCATTTGCCTCACTTTGAGCTTCACATCACTTGTGCCTTGTGCCGCCGAGTTTGGAACGTCATAAATAAATGGTGCCAATCTTCAGTCGGATGTGAATGTGTAGTCTAACATTTTCAGTAAGAATAACGGACAAAAGGAGTGCAAATACAATTTATTGAAATGTGAACTAAAAGTTATCAAGCATGAACCATCACCATTTTTTTTTTAAATAAAAACGAAATAATATAAATAAGTTACACTAAATGTTAATCTGTTAATTGACAGGCTAGGCCTGTGCAGGTGGTAACAGCTATGCCCAGCATGGGCTAAGTTCTGTAGGTGGTGCAGGTCCTCCTCCATCAGGTCTGGTCCTCCTCCATCAGGTCTGCAGGGTCTTTCCCTGCGAGGAGGACTCCTCGCAGGGAAAGACCCTCAGCCCTCTCCGGCCAAAGCAACAGACAGAACGTTCATAAAGCTGAGGTCTCCCCCAAAGTCTCTAATCATCCATCCTGTGAATATGAGAGGGGAACAAATAGTGTAATAGATGCTTTGGACAATAAGAAATATAAAGTTAACTGTTGAGTTGC